CACCATCTAAACTTTAAAGCTTGAAATTTAAAGAGATTGGGAATTTCACTCCCACTTCTTCCTCGAAAAAAAAAATTCCCCCGTCTCTAAAAATTTCTAATGTTAAAAAAAAAACTATAATTATTAATAGGTTAAATATTTAATTTGATCCTTGAACTATTATACAAAACTTTAATTTAATCTTTAAATTAAAAAAATTTCTAATTTGATCCTTAAACTATTGTACGAATCCTCGATTTGGTCCATACTGTTTATCAATTTGCCTTAAGTTGGTCATTTTATACAAAAATAGCTAACGTGTCTCGTTATTAATGTGACACGTGATTGTTAAATTACAGCTTTTTTTGTTAAATATAGACATTTTAGCTTTTTTTTATACGAAATGATTAATTTGGGATAAATTGATAAATAATAAGGACTAAATCAAGACCTGTATAATAGTTCAAAAATCAAATCAAAAATTTTTTAATTTAAAAATCAAATTAAAAGTTGGTATAATAATCCAAAAACTAAATTAAATATTTAACCTTATTAATATTTAAACTATATCGTGAGAATACAATTTAAATAAATTTAATAAAAAATTGATATTTCTCCCTCACATGTAATTTCTGACTCCATTAATAGCTGTCATGTCTTGATGTCCATAGGAGGTTTCACGGACACATTTCATATGTCACTGAGCTCTAGATTCTCAACCCTAGTCTACAGTAGTTTATGCTGATAAATAATTGTACATTTTCACCCACACAATAATTGTACATTTACACAGTAACATATTGACTTTTCAATTTTTCATGTGGTTAAAATGTGAACATAATTATATTTAGGATTATTATAAATATTTTATATTTTATAATATTTTTTTATATACTTTAAATTTTAAAATATTTTTTTATAAACATTTATATATAAATCATTGTATATACAATATTATTCAAAAAAGCAATAAATATTTCTTCAAATTATTATTCTTCTTTTTTGTTTCCAACTTAGTATCAGAGCTATAAGCTCTTAGTTTTTTTCTCTTATCATCGTTGTTTGGTTTTTTGGAGTTAAATTTTGAATTCCATTTCAGATCTGAAACTTTGTCGTTGGAATCTCTTCTTCAACAGATTGGATTGTTTATCTTCAATTCTCAGGTTCTTTTTGAGGTATTTTGTTGGTTTATTATTTCGATCTTGACATCTATTTTTTCATATTTTTTAGATTTTTTTCAGTATTATGAGTTTTATTGATTTTATGGCAAGTTTTGAAAGGACTGTAACTCACCCTACTACTGCTATGGTTGTTAAAAAAGTAATAGACCAATCTAATGTTAACCTTGAATCCCTAAAACATGTGATATTAAATCATTTTAATACTCTTGCTGCCTTATCTACTACTCTAGGTACCAAACCTTGATATTTTGATTATGGTTGTTGTAACCATATGTCTTCAATTACTGTGCATTTCTCTTCAATGTCACCAAATAATTCCTTTCCAGATATTTATTCTGTTGATGGTTCCCTTATTAATGTTAGTCATGTTGGCAATATTTTTACAAAGTCATTGACTTTACCAAATGCCTTCTTAGCTCTAAAACTTAGTTATAATCTTCTATCTATCAGTCAATTATGTAATTTTGGTCTTGAAGTAACATTTTTTGCTCATGGTTGTCGTATGTAGGAGCAACAGACAGGACAACTTCTTGGAACTAGTCACAAGGTGGGGCGTTTGTTTGAGCTCAACTATCTGCATATTTCTGATAATAAAATGGATACACCATCATTTCCAAATGATCAATTCATCCAAACCTTGCTTTGTGCTGTTGAATTAGAGTCTCTAAAAACTCCATACCAACGAATTTTGCAAGCCTGTGTTGCTACTAACGTTTCTCCTCTCCATTTGTAACACTTACGGCTCGAACATACCTCAGTCGGTAAATTTCGTCCACTTATCTCTCGTGGTTTATTAGGGTCAGTTCCGAATGAATCCTTGCATTGTGTCATGTCAATTTGCAAAGCAACTAGCTTTATCTTTTTCGAGTAGGCACTCTCATTCTACTGCTTCTTTTAATCTCGTGCATTATAATGTTTGGGGCCCATCTCCTACACCCATCATAGGTGGTTCCAGGTACTTCGTCTTATTTATTGATGATCATACTCGTTTTACCTGGATATACTTTATGAAAAATCGCTCTGAATTATCATAAATTTATATTGATTTTGCTACCATGATCAAAACTCAGTTCTTTAAAATTATCAAAGTTTTGAGAACTGACAATGCTACTGAATATCTTGGTACTAAACTTCAGTCTTTTCTAAAAGAACAAGGTACACTAACACAACAATCTTATCCTTACACTTCTGAACAAAATGGGCAAGCTGAACGCAAACATAGACACATCCTTGATTCAATTCGTGTTTTGCTCATTTCATCATCTTGTCCAGAGCGATTTTAGGGTGAAGCTGCTCTTACAGCTGTTTATATTATTAATCGCATTCCATCATCAGTCCTTAATAACCAGTTTCCATATGAGCGTTTACGTGGTATTCTTCCTGCCCATAATCTTCTTAAGGTTTTTGGTTGTGCATGTTTTGTTCTTCTTCCACCTCATGAACATAACAAGTTAGAGCCTAGAGCTCAATTATGTTGTTTTTTGGGTTATGAGATTACATAAAAAGGATATAGTTGTTGGGATCCTGTGTCATAAAAACTCCGAGTTTCATGTCATGTTGGTTTTTGGGAACACCCTATGTTCTCGTCATTGTCAAACTTCAAGGTGTCATCCTCTCATCAACCTCCATTTTTTACTAATCCTTCTATTAAACTATTTCCTAGTAATTCTAATGTAGGTACATCTGATGAACTCTACAATGCCTCACCACATGCTCCAACTAGTTCTATAGAAAATGATCTGCATACTGGTAATGCATTAGATAATTTTGAGCCTTCTTCTACTTCCTCGTCTGTATCACCTGTTGATGTTGCATCTGAGCTTGTTGTCCCATCCTTGAGTCATCCTACTCGAGTAAGAAACCCTCCCAGCCACCTTTGTGATTATCATTGTTTTCCTGCTATTACTTCTTTACATGAGCCTCAATCTTTTCAAGAGGCCTCTTCTAACCCTCTTTGGCAACAAGTTATGCAAGATGAATTACAGGCTTTTGAGAACACTCGTACATGGGATTTAGTTGATCTCCTTGCTGAAGAGTCTTTGATAGGCTGTAAATGGGTGTACAAGATCAAAACAAGATCTGATGGTTCTGTGGAGCGCTATAAGGCATGCTTGGTTGCCAAGTGTTTTACATAGGAGTATGGAATAAACTATGAGGAAACATTTGCTCTAGTTGCTCGTCTCACATCTGTGCACAGTTTGCTTGCTATTGTTGCTATATGGAGATAGAAATTGTTTCAAATGGATATGACAAATGCTTTTCTTAATGGTGACCTAGAAGAAGAAGTTTATATGAAACCACCTCCTAGGCTCAACCGTCCTTCAAACAAGGTATGTCGATTGCAACGTGCATTATACGGGTTGAAGCAATCCCCTTGAGTCTGGTATGCCAAGTTTAGTGCTACTGTGAGTGAGTTTGGTTCACTACTGGAAAACGCAGTATATTCGACAGAAAATTCTGTCGAATATATAGGAATTTCTGTCGATTATACTTTAATCGACAGACATATTCGACAAAAAAAGATGTCGTATAAAATGCAGTCGATAATCAGTATATTCGACA